AGGATGGCACGAGATTCTAAAGTCCTAGCTAAGGAAGCCTGTTGCCCTATTTGACACAATGTCCGTACATTAAATGCTCCAACATGTAGTCTAGAGCGAGGTTTAAGGAGACCAGGAACGACGTTTCGCGAACTCGTATCGTCTGCATTAGCTGTACACTGTGATGAATGAATGTGAGAAGAGTTAGTCATGGAGATAAGAGAGGTACTAGGGGGTGTAGGAAGGATTTGATTTTGACCAATTCGGTCTCTGGTGCTGTTATGGGTATGAGGGCGGCTGTCACTTCCCGGCTGCCCACACCGTGGAAGGTTGTTTCTTGAGGAACCTGAAAAGGAAGATAGATTAGTGTTGGTGCGTGACCGCAGAGCCCAAGGGACAACTGCTTGAGGCCAGTCACGCATGGCCTTTTTATCAAATGTTTTTTGAGGATTAGCTCCGTTCTTGTTCGAATCCTGCGAGATGCAGGAGTCGTGGATGCGCACAGCTGGTGAGTAGTCCCATACCAGGACGAAACAGCCGATTTTCAGTGCTTCCAGGTTTCTAATGGTGGTCTAACAATGATTGATTGATGATTTCAAATGTGTAAAAACACTCACTAATCTCCATAACTCTAATTGAAAATAAATCATAGTTGTTTAAGTGAAGTTGATCACGTTTTGTGAATTTCGTGTGAATAATCATCCAATCATTTGGTTGTCGTAATCAAGGCAGGGCTTGTGGCACAAATATGTGTTGGCCTTACGTAGCTCATACTAAAAATTATAACGACGAGATGAAGTTAGCAAAATTAATTCTTAGAGAGTTAGAATAATTTTTAGTAGTATTGATCATTAAAAATTTCAAACATTATAAATATGTTTTTCTTTGAAGACAGAATAAATGTGTAAAAACGCAAACCTCCAAAACTCTGCCCCAAAATATCGTAACAGTGCTCACTAGTGACTAGCTTCGTGAGGAAATTCTCGGAGTTCTAGTTGAGAAGACGTGACCAATGGAGTTCAACCCTGTCGAGTGCAGGTAGGCAGTAACTACCAAAGACAAATGGGTGAGGTCGCGCAAAATCCCTAGATCAATCAGAGTTAGACATTAACACCGTTGGATGCCGGCCCAGTGGTCGGATGCTAAGGCGTTCGCCTACAATTCCGAAGGTCCCGGGTTTGAATCCTGCTAGGAACAGGAGTCGTGGATGCATACTGCTGATTGAGACGAAACGGCCTTCCAGTGCTTCCAGGTTTCTAATGGTTGTCTAACAATGATTGATTGATGATTTCAAACGTGTAGAATAAAAAAGGTTGGTGTAACGGCAAACTGAAGCTTATGTGATTTGGATTATGATCAACAGTAAATTCTTTCTTACTGTCATGTCTAGGTTTGACCATGTTGCTCAATGTATTTAACCACTGATCACTATGATCAACTTGTTTTTCTAACCAGGTGATATGAACCGATGGAAATTGCTCAAAAGCAGTTATTGACTTTATAGTTTGACGCTAATAAGCCTTCGTTTGATTGTAGCAACCCTATATCACTGACCATTCCACGTCCCGATAGTCACTGGTTGAGCATACCGTGATATGCATCATTGTCACCTTCGTTGATGAAATTTGGAATCTTATTAACCATCTCTGTCATCGCTGTCTGGTACTATTTTTTTCAACCTCTGCATTGCTCACCCACTAATTCTACTAAAATATAAGCAGTTTTTCGAAAAAAAGCATGATGCACACCCTATAACCTATGACTGACTGATTATACTCCTTGAATAATATCTTTGGAATCTAATCTTCACCATTACCGCTAATGGTTCTACTACCTCTTCCACAATGGGATTTGGATTGACAATTGCATCTCTGTGCTAATGTGGTATGGCAACTTAAACTGATGTACGTATGTACAAAGTTCTACGTTGTACCCCCGACTATAACCTATGCATGTCTCTTACATTTATGTACCATGAAGTAACACAAATCAAACTATTTTGAAGAATATTGCCTCTTTAGTTGGTGTGCAGAAATCTCGCCAACTCCACAAGCAACATATTTCCACAAAAGCCAAACCGATTGTTTTAATCTACGCTCAGACTTAGTCAGACGTCAGATCTGGTAGGATTTCCGTGATAAGTAAAGTTATGAAGATACTCAACTATTTCACACCTTATGTTTAATCTAGCAGATGACTTGGACTAGTCCTGAAGCAACAGTTAACATGTGGAGGCGAAGTAGCGGAGCACATTGTGATATCTATGTTCTTCACATGTTTGTTCTCAACCAAAATATGATATTGTTATGTTAGAATGAATATTAAAGGCACGGTAACTTAAAGGACTGATCTACGAATTATTATTACGTATATTCTTAATATACTGGATAATGTGGTCTAGTCTGCATGTCTCTAGTTCCATCAGGAGGTTTTTTCGAGTTCTAGTGAGGAGTTATGACCGGTGGAGTTCAACCCTGTTCAAGCGTGAAGCCCTGCTCACCGAAGGTAGTGGATGAGGATGCACAAGACCATGGATTGATCAGAGTTAGGCATTAACATCGTCAGAAACCGGCTTAGCGGTCCAAAGGTTAGGCGTTTGAGCGCCAGAACGAAGGTCCTTTGTTTCGAGAATCCTGTGAATTGCGGGAGTTATGGATGTGCATTGCTGACTAGTCCCATGCCGGGACGAAACGACCGTCCAGTGCTTCCAGGTTTTTAATGCTGGTCTAACATTTGTCAATTCATGATTTTTTTTAAATCCAGTGAAGGCTGCTTGCGAACTTTGGGATTCAACAGTAAGGGCAGAGAGAAGCGAAAGAAATATGAACTAAAGATTATTAGTGCGCTGCGGACATGTAATTAGTCAAGACAAAGGTAACAGATATCAATCAGTGTCTACAGACAGACAGACAGAAACAGATTCAACTCAGAACTTCTTACGTAAGTACATTAATTCAGGTTGCCATGCCTCATCAGCACAGAGACGCAACTGTCACTTCAAATCCAAGAGTCATAGCGATAGTAGAAGTATTAGCAGTAATGGAGAAGATTAGGGAACAAAGATATTATTCGAAAAGTATAATTCAGTAAAATAAATTTAGAAGGAGAAAGGTAAAGATTATGAGGAATTCAAAAGGTTAGAATTTCATAAAACACAAAGAGTGGATGCACCTGCGCCATTGCAAACGATTCTGAGCCATGTCACTCAAGGTCTCTAACCACTGGTGACTTTCGTCTCGCCGACTCTAACCAGGTAGCCTACATCTACCACCATGACTCAGTCCACTTGTCAATGACTTCATGGATTTCTGCTATGTTTTGGTTTGACCGCCCCTAAATTTCTTCCAACCTAGTCCTACACCACAAAACATAGCTCGTTGAGGTAGTCGGTGGTTAGGCATTCGTAACACATGTTCCAACCACCTCAACTAATGAAGTTTCAATACTTCATCAATTGATCTGCCATCTTTACCCAGTACTCGTTCCCTAATAACAGCATTGCTTACTCGGCTGTCCCACGATATACGAGCAATGCTTTCGATACACCTATGATCGAAGACTAGTGACCTAAGATAGTGCTCTACTCTTAACGGCAATGTTTCGCATCCGTATAGTAGGACAAAGTGAACTGCTGTGCAGTACAATCGTCCTTTGTTTAGCAAACGGATATTTCAAAAAATCACTAAAATTTTCATTTTTTGATCAATATTTTTTCAATTTTAGTTCACTAATCAAGAGTTAACTACACCAGATGAATATTTCACTACTGCTACTACTACCACACCTAAATGGTTTACACGTAAAGAAGTTGGCATAAACAGTGATATTGAAAATAATGAAGATAATATTATTCTACCAAGAAATAAAGAAGATAAAATTAATTCACTTAGAAATGTTCTACTACGTCAAAGGTGAGTCGATAACTCGTTTTTTGATGATGAGGACGAGACTGCAATTTACTTGTTGGAGTTTGGCACAAAAATGTATTCATTCTTATGGTGTGATAATATTTTAGTGCTTTACAGTTGATGTCATTTGGTGGGGTGAGAACCTCTTCCTACTTTTGATTCCTACGTGTGACATCCAGTTGTGAATGCTATTCACTGATTTCTCATATTCATTTATGCCTAACGTTAAGGTCACCACGCTAGCATCGCCTGAAGGTCATCCGTAAATTATAGTCTCACGTAACCGGTTTCGTGAAATGAACATAATCGATAGATACGACTTTTATTAAAAAAAAATTCATTTTTCTATTCGTAATCATTAAAATTCTAATCAGCTAATCAGTTGTTGGGGATGTTAGATCCCCCAGAACTCGCTTGATAAAAATGCCTTATTTTGGATTTCACGTTTGCGAGCATGGGCTGATCAGTTGACCTTGAGATTTCATTTCCCACCAGGAAAATCCATGGCTGTGATTGACTGCTGTGTATTTTATTAGTGTGCTATTTTCATAACTGTCCCAAGGACGTTTCTATGATGTATAAATAAACGAGAGTTGTGTGCTTGATTGTATTGTGTGACTGCTGGGTGTTTGTAGAATATACTTTCTACGCTTACCAAGACTTCTATATTCAGCTTGGGATTCAAGGTAGCATATCTGGTAACTGTCTCATTCGCGTTTATCGACTAAGGTGAACTCGTAATAACTTCAAGCGCACCAAGTGACGAACATAACATCACTCAACCTATAGGATTTGATATATATGTGCATCAGTTCAAGTTGTCACACCACGTTAGCACAATGACATAAAATTATCAGAACTAATGCCGAGGCAGTTGGAGTAGTAATAATAACAGCGGTAATGAAAAAAGATAAAACATAAGCAAAGTTCTAAGTTACACTATCCAGCGTCTTCAGCCACTGGTTACGGACCTCAACAAGGTTGTTTGTACGTGCCAACACAGATTCTTGTGGTAACGTTCTGTTCATAGATTATTGGGATAAAGGTTTGTAAAAGTTCATTTTAATGAACTAAAGAGCCTGTCTTCATAAAACACAACAACCACCAAAAATTAGGATGCACTCTACGGTTCTGATTATGTTTCTGCGTTTTACAGCTCCTACCACTCCATATATAGGATCAAACTCATCATCTTCAGCTGATGTCAACCTTTAGGTGAATTTAAATTTAAACTCAGCTATCCCAATGGAGTGCTATCTTTGCGGTGACCGTTTGCATATCACTGACTAAATTCGAAGATCTACTCCAAGAGTTATGATAAAAAAAAAGCGTAACCTGTAGAATCCAGCCGTGTGGAGAGATGTTACAGATCTCACCGACTGAAGTAAGCATTATTATCGATTGGGTCTTAATTCACTGGTCGAAGGGCAACTTAACTGATTAGTCACTGAGTAACAACCAGTGTTATATCCGTCTAGTTGTTAGTGCTGATCGAGGCCTATCGATATTGTTTCAGTGTAGCCGTTGATCTGGGTAACTCAATATCTTATTTACTAAGTCTTGAGGTTGGATGGTTAGAATTAGTCGGCAAGAAAAGTAGGATCTTAAATCTATGTTACGATTCATTATTAATGTGTACCTATAATAATGACTGAAATTCTACTCTCTATGAGATTCAAATTCTTGTCACCCGGTCTCACAGCCAATAAAACACGATGCTTCCAGAAGAATTGAACAAATATGGCAGTACTTTCTGCTCAACAAATGCAAACAGCTTAGCCCCAAAGTCTCATATCTTGACGCTCGGTAATGCCTTATCCTAATCCACCAGAAATCATCAATTCCAACCAAATGTCCTCACTCTTAAGGATTCCTATGCTAGTGTAAGATACAGTTGGTTATTTTCAATGGGGTTGTCTAACAGAAGTCGGTGTTCATGATGTAAAATTACGAAATCCGATCAAGTCCAATTTTTTAGCAGAAAAAAATCCACTGATTGACTACAAATTTACTTATATCAGAAACTATGATTTTCTTTTCAATAATTTTAATCTATAAAAATATCTGCGTTTCTCTTCTCAGTTTAACAGATTCATCAGTTTATCAACAGAATGATGATCGTTTATATAGTGGGAATCAATTGCAAGAAACAAACACTGTCTTAGCTGAACGAGTTCGACTGTTGACAATGAAAGAACAACTGGCTAAAGAAGCAGCTAACACAAGTACACGTAAGTGTGTAGTGCCTCCATATTTATTCCAGTTCGCTTACATTTAATTTTATTAAGAAGCCCTTTCGATTAATTTATTTAGCCAAGCCATAATTTGTATTGCAACAATTTATGTGTACCATTCATCCTTATTATTGTCTGGTTTGTATGATGAGCTCACGTGACTTGTCCCCACTTGTCCTTTGACTGTGTCAACCGTTCGTCGCTTTTATTCATGTGTGTACATGCCTATCTCGTTGGTCACATGTCTGTCTTATTTTTGTCTGACTATATATTCTTAGTCACGCTCTATCTCCGTGAGTTGGCTCATTAGCCTTCTCCACATTATTTCATCCGTTCATTCCCCTATTCACTCGCTTGCTTGCTTTCCGGCGCTCTCATGACGATTTTACCTTTAACGCTTGTAGTCTGCTGTTCTATTTGTCGTGTACCAAATATAAACATATTCAACACTTTGTGTTCACCTTCGGGTTTAGTAACCGTCAGACGCCATCTAGTAACGATTGTCTGGACGAGCTAATCACGAAGATTAAGAACACGTCGAAATCGGCCACCATTACTTTGGTGAGCCCGCCGTTGAATCTTACGCACTCAACGACAAATCTGGTGAGCCCGACGTGATATGGGCCACCATAAGTGTATCGTAATGGTGTATTATCATTATCGCTTTGTTCAATGTGTACAAAAATAAATGTTCTCTTGTTTAAAATACAACTTTTCATTATCTCATTGAAGAATTAATTTATATTTTACAAATCATTCATTTATGTCCATGTTAGGATCGTCACTAGGTTCACCTTAGTCGATAAACGTGAACGAGACAATCAACCAGCGTCCAGGTAGGCTACTCTGATTCATTGACTCAAAACAGCTAACGATAAGTCTTGATATAGCGTAGGTGTATTGTGCAAACAAACAGGAAGCACAGTCATCTCAAGCACACAAATCGCGTTTATTTATACATCACAGAAACGTCCTTTGGAGAGTCACAAAAATAGCACACTAAAATAACACAGTAACCAATCACGACCAAGGATTTTCCTGGTGGGAAATGTGATCTCAAGGTCAACTGACCAGTCCATGCTCGGAAACGTAAAATCCAAAATTTATCAAGCGAGTTGTAGGGTTCTAACATCCCCAACAGTTCAACTTACGAATTAAAACAATCTCCACACAACTTCTTAGATAAACTATGTTCAGTTAAATTCTACATAACTATACTACTTCTTAAAATAATTTAGGTAATATATACAGCCTAAACATAAAAATAAATTTGTTACTCGAAGTGTTTCTTCTCGTGAATTATATTCGTTGAGATGTTATTTTTGATTAGTAGCTCCAACAATTGGACTTAGTCCAATAAATAGTAGCTTCACAAACTTGTATCTTGATATCTTGGTTTAAGATTATGTATGGTAGGTGTTATGTCCACTTATTTAATATTACAACAGTGTACCACACACACTTCTTGTGTGCTATACAAGATTGTAGCTGTAAAATATCATTAAGTTTGGAAACGAAATACGTATTTTCCTGTAGGATCTTGTAGGATTTCATATTCTCTATCTGATCAAGTTACTCAGTGAAACCTCGAAAGATATCAACAATCGAGTAAGCTTCTGGTGATGTATTGGGGACGTTAGATCCCCTAATTTCGATTTTCCTCATGTTTTCGCGCATAAGTCGCCTAGTTGACCTTCAACTTACACTCCCCACTCGGAAAATCCTTGACTGTGTTATTTTAGTATTCTATTTCTGTGGTTCTCCCAAGGACGTTTCTGTGATGTATAAATAAACTCAATTTGTGTGCTTGGGAACCACATATTTTCTGGGTGCTTGTAGAATACACTTTCTACTCCATATCAAGGCTTCTTCTCCTTATTTAGTTAGCATGGCCGGAGACAATCGAATCAGAATAGCCTATCGTGTCACTGTATCAATTGTCCTCGTTCCAAGTAGATCAATTGACAAGCATAACATTTATAATGAATAATAAGTAGATCTCATCAAATTACCAGGATTCATATAAACCTGTTTTCTTTTACGTCCGTCTACTATTTTAATTTCATACGTAACTGGATATGTGTTGGGGACGTTAGAACCGCAGAACTCGCTTGATAAATGTTTTAATTTTGGGTTTTATTTATGGGCTGACCACTGACCTTGAGATCACGTTTCCCACCAGGAAAATCGTTGACTGTGATTGGTAACTGTGTCATTTTAGTGTGCTATTTTTGTGACTCCTTCAAGGACGTTTCTATGATGCATAAATAAACGCAATTTGTGTGCTTCAGATAATTATTGTGTTTGCAGAGTGTTTGTGGAATACACTTTCTACACCATATCAAGACTTTTACGTTAGTTCTTTTGGATCGAAGGATCAGAGTAGCCTATTCGGACTGTGAGTCATTGTCTTGTTCTCGTTTATCGACTAAGGTGAACCCGTAATAGTTTCAAGCATATCAAGTGACGAGCATAACAATGTGATGATAATTAATGTGTAGAAGTTGTTGGTAATTCGACTTTGGTTCTCTCTGATCTCACCTTGTGTTTAGGTATATTCATATTATGATTTGCACTATATACTTTAATCTTAAAATCAACATTCCATTGACTGCTATTTCCAATGATAACTGATTAAACATGAATGGTCACACTTGTGAATGTGCTACAAGGCATATCTAATATGTCATAGCGCTCTCTGATTATCTATCAACCGTTGAAAATATTCCTCTTGGTATCATTTCCATTCATTCTGTCTAATTCAATCTCTTCAGTCTAGTTCGCAAACCTAACAGTGTTCTTTTTTTATGAGACGTAATCCTACTATGGAAATGATTTCATTTCTGATGTTTTCTTCAAACTGCGAACTGTTAGTTAAGTGGATAAAGTTGACTTGACTTGACTTCTTATTCACAATAAAAATTATGAGAATCAGATTTCTTTGTAACTTACCAATTAGAAGACAATTTTAGTCCTAGTTAAGCGCAGTTGCCACTTTGATCGCGAAATAATATTTATCAATCATAAAGTGAATTAGAGGTTCTTTAACAGATCAAATTATCATTCTCATTTAAATGTCACATTGCATAAGTATCTCAACGCATATAATGCATAATTTTCCTTATTCCTGCTTCTTTCTTGAAAGATTTTTGTTTGGTGTAGTTGGAACTAGTGGCGCAAATAGTTGTTATAGTATCTGGTTATTAGAGTGTTGTACGTAGGAATTATTGGTATGGTCACAATTCTAGTTAGTTTTTTAGACTCCTTCAAGTTGTAAGTCAACTTTTCTCACCATTACTAAAAAAATTATCAATCTGTAAAAGAACGAATCTACACCGCGTTTAATAAATATCCACATACTATCGAATCATACAATAATCATGTATTCTCACTGATAAAATAGCTTTGAAACACAGATTCCTCCAAGTTGTTTTTTTTTCAATAAACTTTGACTCGTGAGTTTCTCTTCTCTGATAACATAAAAGAATCATCTTTCTGTAAAGCCATTTGATCATCATCATCAATAGCAACGTAGAATTTTGCACGTACGAACAGCAGTTCATGTTGCCATACCACATGAGCACAGAGATATAATTGTCAATTCAAATCCTAGAGTAGTAGAGATAGTAAAAGTGTTAGATGTAATCGGAGAGATTAGGGTTCGAAGATGTTATTCAAGAAGTATAATTCAATGAGGTAAATTTATAAAGAGAAAGATAGAGATGTTGATTAATTCAGGTTAGAATTTCATAGAACACAAAGAGTAAATGCACCTGCTCCATTGCAAACGGTTTTGAGCCATGTAATTCAGGGTATCTAACCATCGATTAATAACATCTCGCGGACCCCAACCAGGTAGTCGACACCCACCGACATGACTCAGTCCGCTTGTGAGTGACTTCGTGGATTGCTGCCGTGTTTTGGTCTGGCCGCCCCTAACTTTCTTCCAACCTATTCCTACATCGCAAAGCATAGCTCGACGAGGCAGTTGGTGGTTAGGCATACGCAGCACATGTCCTAACCAACTCAACTGATGAAGTTTCATTACTTCATCTATTGATCTGCCATTCTTACCTAGCACCCGTTTCCTAACGACAGCATTGTTTACTCGGTTGTCCCATGATTTACAAGCAATGCTTTGGAGACACCTATGATTGAAAACCACTAACCTACGAATGTCCTCTACTCTTAACGGCCATGTTTCACAGCCGTAAAGTAAGACGGGGTGAACTGTTGCGCAGTAGACTCGTCCTTTGGTTAGCAAACAGATATCTCGTCTACGCCATAAGTGACGTAAGTTGGCGAAAGCCAACGGAGCCTTTTGTATCCATTCTGAGATTTCGTCAGTCACCAGGCCATCGCCACTGATGAGACTCCCGATATAAGTGAATCGGTCAACACGCTCCACTGCTTTACTCCCTATCACTAGTCCAGGTGCCGATGCAACCCAGTCTTGAAGCAACATTTTGTATTTCGAGTGTGAGAACCGCATTCCGAACATGTTTGCTTGTTTCACTGATAAGTTTCCCAAGATAAGTGAAGATGTTAAACCACTGAAACTATAATTAAGCATCAATTCAATGTACCCCCTATTATCATACATTCAAAGTACATCCACTGTGTCATGTACACAGTTGTCATTGATTATTCTTCTCACAATGAAACAACTTTTTTTGTAAAAGCAATAAAAATCTCCAAGTGTCAAGGTGTCAATAAATACGGTTTCTGTTTTTCATTTTTTTTTTAGGCTTTTTCGCACGTGAAAAACAATCTCCCTATAATAAAACATCTGATTGAAAGTTTTTTTTCTAAAAATCCCCCACAACATATCATACATAGCCTTTTACTGTTTTTTCTCATTTGTTTGTTCTTAGAAATTTTCCCTCTTCCTTTAATTTACAACACACTGTGCATTTTTTTTTGTTCGTTAAAACAAAAAACGTTCCTTCTTCGTACTGCTCACACTTTCCTGTTTCTTTTGATGCGGTAAAACAAATCAGCTAATATAATTTTTTTATTTTAATGCAGTTTTTAATTAATTGTAAAAAACATTATTAGACTGATTTAATATGATAATACAAGCACAAGTACAATCAAGTATATTCCAATTTTTTTTTGTAAAACGAATCCTCATTGGCTTTTCCCTTTTTTTTTGGTATTTCTACCTCATATTTTACTTTGTTATACCCTTTTTTTTCTAAAAAAATTCTATTCTTATATATCAATCAAAGCATTTCAATTTGATAAGCGAATCATTGGTTGCTGCTGCTACTACTACTACTACTACTGTGAACTGATATAAAAATTCATTTTCTTCAAATTATTTATTGATTTTCACATGAATGTAGTATGATTTTATCTCAATATTAAAATATTTATATATATTCACAATGTAGGTCTTTTTGAATTGAGACGATTAAGCTTTCTATGTGAAACATGTTGCATTAGGAAGCAATCCCGACCAGTTAAAAATAGTTTTGGATGGAAAGAAACTGACGATTATGTATATATATATATATATATTTAGCATCGGTTGGTAATGCAGACATTTACTTTTTACCGTAGTTGGTAACTAAAGATGATAGCAAATGTTTAGTTGAATGCGATTCTAACTATTTTTCAATTAGGAGTTATGAAGATTAGCGTTTGTTGCACTGTGAAATTGTCAATTTTGCAACGCTGTTATTAGGAATCGGGTGCTAGGTAAGAATGGCAGATCAATAGACGCAGTAGTGACACTTTATCATTTGAGGTGGTTGGGACATGTGTTGCGTATGCCCAACCACCGACTGCCTCGAAGAGCTATGCTTTGTGGTGTAGGAGTAGGTTGGAAGAAAGTTAGGGACGGCCAAATCAAAACATGGCAGAAATCCATGAAGTCATTGATGAGTGGACTTAGCCATGTCGGTAATTGTCGACTACCTGGTTGGGGTCCGCGAGATGATAATAATCGATGGTTAGATACCCTGAATGACATGGCTCAAAATCGTTTGCAATGGCACCGGTGCATTTATTCATTGTGTTCTCTCAAATCCTAATCTTCTGGATTCTTCAACCCCTCTAGTTTTGATTTCCTAAACGTTTCTCACTGAATCATACTTCTTGAATAATATCTTTGAACCATAGTCTTCTTCATTACCATTAATACCTCTACTATCTTTATCACTATGGGTTTTGATTTGACATTCCTGTCTCTGTGCTGATGTGGTATGGCGACATGAAGTGACGTACTTATGTACGAACTTCTACGTTGCATCTGACTGACTGACTGACTGAAATTGTCAATTAGTCATTGTTAGACCATCATTAGAAACCTGGAAGCACTGAAAGACGGCTGTTTCGGAGTTAGACATCAAAACCGTTGTGTACCGGCTCAGTGGGCTGGAGGTTAGATGTTCGTGAGCAAGGCCGAAGGTCCTGGGTTTGAATCCTGCTAGGCGCAGGAGTCGTGGATGTGCACTGCTGATGAGTCCCATACCAGGTTTCTAATGGTGGTATAATAATGATTTATTGATCATTTCAGTGTGCTTCTGACTATGAAAGTTTACGTAGATCAGTAATTTGAAGACTTGTAAAGTATTCTTAAAGTGAGAGACTCTGAGAAGTCACAAAACGTTCAGTTTTACAGCCATCTCCATGTCACACTGGATCAGTAAAGAAGTTGAAAGGCTAAGCTGTAATTACGAAAGACAGTTACTCTATGAGTTATTAATCTAACGGCGTGTAAATATTTGGTTGGTGTTTTCAGATCCCAAATGCATCGTTGTGTATAAGAAATTGAATAGTTACCAAATAAATACAGATGACTAAACTCGAAATTAGTTTCAATATAATTTTAGTGCCCACCGGATTTTCGGTAAGCACGCAAAGGAACTCAATCACGGTTCCAGGTATTTGGTATTGTCCCGTGGGTGGTAGTCTAGCCAGTCACTCGGTTGCACTAATTCCAGTCAGTAGACAGTGAATTAGGAATTTGTTTATTCTATGATTTCAGTGAGTGCGTTTGTCACTGCATAAAATGAGGAGTTGTGTTAGCATTGCCTGTATCCACCAAGGTAGTCCTTCAGAGCGAACTTCCACCTGTTCCAGGCCAACCTTTTTCACTGTAGCATGTGTTCAGCGCCTCACACAAACGAAGTTCTCTCTTCCTGTGTGTGATATCCCTGAAGTGCATTGTTCGTAAGAGCATTATTCATATTTTGTTTGTGAATATGTTAAATACGAATCTGCTTTGGTCACTACTTCCTGCTAAAGTTTGGACGCGGACATTCTCTACCAGGAGCTGATCGTTTGTAGGTAAACAACCCACGTTTGAGGGTTTACCATCCTTATTCCATCTGGTGGAGTTATACATAAGCTCAATGAGTCTGGAAATAAAAACCTGTGTGCCTAGTTGTTTTTGACAGAAGCCTGTTAGAGTGTTAATGTTATGTCCGTCACTTGGTACGCTTGAAGCTATTACGAGTTCACCATAGTCGATAAACGAGAGCGAGACAATTACCTGCATCCAGGTAGGCTACCTTGAATCCCAAGCTGTAGAACAGAAGACTTGATAAGCGTAGAAACAAACACCCAATAATCATAATACAATTGTAACTTCAGCCTTTGGTTAGTTTGCGTCTAAACCGAAGGTACCTTGTGTGCTGGGGGGGATGTGAGGAGCGGTGTATGAGATTATCTGGAAGAAGAAAGAACAATAGAAAAAGATGAGCCGACGACTCAGTAAGCACATAGAATGCACTTACATACAATATACGAATAAAGCCAGCGCGAGATTACGACAAACTGATAAACGAAACTAAGAGATAATAGGGTTCGGTTTCGAATGCGTTACATGGCTCCCCCGATAGAAAAGCACTGTCCTCAGTGCTTGCGGTACCTGTGTTTCTATGAGGCTGAGTTACATGATGTGGAATAGCCGCTATGCTGAGTTACATGGAGTGGGATAGTTGCTGTGTGATGCGTCTGAATGTGAGCAAACTGAATCCCACCTCCATCACCAAATGTAACGTCAGCCTTTGGTTAGTTTGCGTCTAAACCGAAGGTACCTTGTGTGCTGGGGGGGATGTGAGGAGCGGTGTATGAGATTATCTGGAAGAAGAAAGAACAATAGAAAAAGATGAGCCGACGACTAGACAAGTGTGAAACACGGTATTCCACAACGCGTCGAGAAATGCTAGCATTAGTTAAATTCTTACAGCACTTCCGTCATTACCTACTGGGTAGACCTTTTCGCGTGCGCACGGATCACCGTGCATTACAGTGGCTTCGATCTTTTCGCGAACCAGAGGGACAAGTAGCACGCTGGCAGGAACGACTGCAAGAATTTGACTTCACATGCGAGTACCGTCCGGGAAATAGACATGCCAATGCAGATGCACTCTCTCGCCTCCCCTTGTCCACAGATACCGTTGCTGCAATTCTGAGTACGGCAACAGAGATTGACTGGCCCTCATTGCAAGCAGCAGATCCAGATTTGCAGATTATTTACCAAAGACAATTGCACGGGAACAATAGGCCGTCCATGAAGGAGTTAAGAGACCAAACCCTCGCCACGCGTCGGATTTGTAAATGGAGCAGTTTAAAGCTATATGGTAACACGCTATTCCTAATTAATGAGTCCAGACAACCCCTGCTTATAGTACCGCAAGTAAAGACACAGAGTATTGTAGGGCAAGTTCATCGTGAACTCGGCCATGCAGGAGAACGAAGAACTGAGCATGCTGTTCGACAGCGCTTTTGGTGGCCGTCTATTCATGAAGATGTAACCGACTTCTGCAAAAACTGCAACACGTGCTGTCGTATAAAATCGCCCAAGCAAACACCACGCGCACCGTTAATGCCGATGAGAACGACTGGATCTCACCAGCGCGTTGGTATTGATATTATGGGACCATTGACGACGACGAAGAAAGGAAATCGTTACATATTAGTTATGGTAGACTATTTCACTAAACGGTGCGAAGCAGTACCCATCCCACAACAAGACGCCCTAACTGTCTCACGGGCTTTCATTGATCATTGGGTATCCCGTTATGGTGCCCCATTCTCACTCCACTCCGACCAAGGTCCGGCCTTCGAAAGTCATCTCATTGCTGAAATATGCAAGCTATTGGGGATACGGAAGACACATACTACCGCATATCATCCAGAAGGTAACGGCCTAGTTGAGAGGACAAATAGAACCATTAAAGCTATTTTACAATCGTTCGTCAGCAGATCGTCATCTGAGTTGTGGGACGAGGTGCTCCCTCAATGCATGCTGGCTTATCGAACATCGGTACATGGGTCTACGGGATTCTCACCTGCTGTCCTACTATTCGGGCATGAGCTACGCCTCCCGGTTGAGATTCAGTCGCCTTTACTACCGTACGAAGAACAAGAACATGTTCCGTACATCCGCGCTCTCCGTAACCGCCTGGCCGATGCATACCGTTTAGTCAAAAGTCAACTCGCGCAGGGCTAGCGGCCATCAAAAAAAAATATGTATGATCGCCAAGTGCAAGGACCGGTGTATAAAGTTGGAGACCGTGTCTGGTTACGCCGCCCCATGACATCAACAGGAAGTTGCAGTAAATTTCACCAGCCTTGGCATGGCCCCTTCGAAATCGTCCTCATCCGATCCCCCACGACGTTTGTGTTACGTAATCCGCAACAACCTCAGGACGATGTGATAACGGTGCACTACAATCAAATAAAGCCAGATCGGACAACCGTACCTGCTGATGCCCGATTCACAGACCCACCACCTGCTACTAGTTTTTATGAGATACCGGCTGAAGGAGGAGCAGCGTACC